TTTGAAGGCTGGAAACGGTCAATGGTAGCATGTGGAAAATTTGCAAGTAGAAACACTAACCAATAATTGCAGGTAGATCCGTATATGGTAAATCGTTTAAGAAGAGGCCATTGAGCAGGCAACTTCTCAATTGAAACAAGGAGTGCAAGGACAATGTAGCGACGTGAGGCTTTGACCACCGATTTCCACCTGAGTTAACCAGAGTAATATTCAAACTGAGCTCAAATACAATCCCTACCCTGTTCAACGTCCTCTTCGAATTTTACCCAACGAGCAGTCTCTCTCCACTCATTGCTACCAAGTTCGCCCATTTCGGTAAATAAGGCCGGCGTATCATCCTTCTCCTTCAGAAGAAACATAACACGAGTACCGGGAGCTGAAAATTGTGACACTTAAAGAATATTCCAGTTATTTCAATTATGAGAACAGATATCAGTTGACCTCGTCAAATTTTTATTCAATACCGATCATAGTATTTTGTGTGCTGACAGCAAATTAAACGAATTAAGGAGAACACTAAGCAGTCAATAACTTAGACAGAGAAGTTTGAGATAAACTTCGTCGTTCTTCCCTCAGCGCTTCGTTCTATGTTCTACCATATTTCTCTCGTTACTGGCGCACCCTGTGCGCAATAAAATAAATAAACAATTGAATATTGTGAAGGATCATTGAGAATATAGAAGTTACTATTAATGATTTAGCTCTGTGCTCTGTCGGCCAGTTAGTAATTGCAACACTTGAGCGAAAATGTAAGCAAAGCAATGTAATGAAGAATAAATCTTAAAATAGTTTTTATGGCTCACTTTAACTGGTTTCCTCTCCCTTTGCTGGTGGTTAAGTAATGTAAAGAAAGCGTTTCAAATCATAGGCACAGCATTTGTCAGAAATTTTAACACATGTATATCCTCTAATTTCAGTTTTCGTAAAAGTAGGATAGTAGTTGCTCTTGCGGCTTCAAGGAGAGATAATCGAAGTTAATAATGAACAACAAGCACAAGAGAATTTGAAAAGCAAGACGGATGATGGCCTGGCAAGCTTGCTGCGGTTACTAGCACAAAAGCAAGAATTCAGTAAGGTAAATTGTTCAAAAGC